ATTGTTGATGATGAAAGTATTCATTTTAGCTACACATAAAATAAATTATAATAAAATTATGTAAATAATCTCATGAAACCACTCATGCATACACCATACATTAAAAATCTTATAAATAAAGGTTAATAAGTAGAACCTTGCTTGAGATGTAATAAACAATGTAAATAATATAGTTTCTTGATGGTGGTTATGAAAGAGATTGCAGGAGCTTATAGTAAATATTTGTGGACTTATTAATTATCATACCATATTCAGAAATATTGATATCTTTTAGGATAAGATCAATGACTTTTGAAAAATGTATAAATCAACTTGAATGGTAATAATTAGGATAAACTTAACAAATGTACATTGTTTGGAGATCGCATATAACTGGGCAATTATAGGAAAATGTGATTATGAACTTATGAATTGGCATATACCAAATTTAAAAAAAATCTATAGGATAAGAATAATTCTTGTAAAAAGGCTACAGATACGTCAACTTCAATTTGGGTGATTAGGCTTAAATAATTTTAGGATGAAGTTTCTAGATGCGGATTGTTATGAGATCACATACAAGATTGACGAAATATGGATTTCAAAAGTATTGTAAAAAGAACTCAAATATTATTCTGAAGGAATACATTCAAGTGATAATGCGTCAATTCATACACTATTTAACAACACGTCATAAGTGCTAAGTCTAATTCAATTAGAAGGGAAGGAACAATTATCGATAACTATTTCAATTACAATTATTTATATTTACTTGTGCAGCATGTAATAATAGATAACTATTTTATTGAATGAAGCTTCCATCATCGTGATTGAATTAGAGAATATATTCTTCAAATGATCCTTACCGATAGATTGCAAATTTATTATTTTCTCTTCTTTGTCTATGCAACAATTTTAAATTTGGAGTTAAGAATGTTATTCTTTAAAATTCTTTAAGGTTAGAATCTTCCCCAAACATTTATAGTCATTTATTTTTTCACTCTATTATCTTGACATTAAGAATGATCTCATGTAATTGTGTAAGTACGAATTTATTAATATATATTAAATATCAAAGACTTGGATTTGGACTTGGACTTGGCGCTTGGGTTGGATCGGACCTTAAAATAAATATTTTTATAAAGCTTAAATATTACTCTATAAATAACAATGATTTTACAAATAAGAATAGTATATATATCTGTAGTTTGATACAAACGGTACAAAATAGGTCAAAAATTAAAGTGACCAAGAGAAAAAATGACACAAGATAGAGATAATGATAGTTTATGTACACTCAATACTAATATTGTGATCATCATTTTTGAGAAATCTTTCCACAATATCTAGGCTTGGTTGCAAAACAGTATTCCTCCATGCTTCGTCAACAACTTCTTTTCTATCTTCTTTGAAAACATCAATAGCAATAATATGATGCACTGACCACATTTTCTCATTTATTAATCATTGAATCTTGTCAAGTTGATTACAAATTAATATACGAGTATTACGCTTGATACTTGAAATTGAAGCTTGAAGAATCATCTTCTTTGATTCATCATCTCCGTCAATATTTTTTTCTTCCCTTAAATATTTGGCCATTTCAGGGACACCAATGGACCGTCGATTCCTTTGGTGTAATCAGCATCTGGAATGTAAAATTGCCGCACCTCATCCACCAGCCCTTCATGCAGCATAAATTTAAGAATAGTTTTATTTAGGTGAACATATATTGGAAAACCGAAAGTATTATTAAGAAAACTATATAAGAAAAGTTTTAGTTAGAGTCATTATTATATTTGATTCATATATAAAATAACTACAAAAACTACCTGCATTGACCATTTCATCAACCCTTGTGTCAACTCTACGGTTCAAGACTGATTGCTCTACATCAATCCAAATAAAGCAACTGTCATACTTATGTTTGAACATGAATACAGGGTCTTCCACAAGTTTTTCAATAATCGAATTTGACCCTCCAACAATAATTGGAACACATTGAGTCTTCAAAAAAATTTCTATGTATTCAATGCACTTCAGACAGAAATCTTCGGCCGTGAAGTTGGAATCTGGCTCAATTTCACCTAAAAAATTGTGAAACAAAATAATTGCCAATTAATATTCACATTAAAATAAAGCAATCACAAAAAAATGTCTTTTTTAAATATGTATACCTAGCAAATAGTGTCGTACACCTTGTTTCTCAGCGTGTGTGATCTTGTTGGTCACGATTTCAAGTCCCTCATAAACTTGCATTTTGTCCGAGTTTCTTATTTCTCCTCGAAAATGGGTGGCAAGGTCAACAGAGAGACGAGATTTTCCCGTTCCTGTTGCTCCCATCATGAACACCACTTTCTTTTTGTTGAACTTGTTGTTGTTGATGATGAAAGTATTCATTTTAGCTACACATAAAATAAAATTATAATAATAATTAGTTTAAAATAGTAAATAATCTCATGAAAACTACTCATGCATACACTCATACATTAAAAAATCTTATAAATATAAGGTTAATAAGTAGAAACCTTGCTTGAGATGTAATAAACAATGTAAAGTAATATATTTTTCTAGATGGTGGTTATGAAAGAGATTGCAATGAGAATTTATAGTAAAATGTATTTGTGGACTTATTAATTATCATACCATATTCAGAAATATTGATATCTTTTAGGATAAGATCAATGAATTTTGAAAAATGTATAAATATGTCAACTTGAATTTTGGTAATGACAAGTAAATAATTTTAGGATAAACTTAACAAATGTACATTGTTTGGAGATCGCATATAACTGGGCAATTATAGGAAAAATGTGATTATGAACTTATGAATTGGCATATACCAAATTTAAAAAAAATCATATCTTATAGGATAAGAATAATTCTTGTAAAAAGCCTACTGATACGTCAGCTTGAATTTGGGTGATTAGGCTTAATGTAATGACCCTCCAGGTCATTTTTAAATTAAAGAATTCTTTCCCTCGTATAGAGCATTCCTGTAGCGACCCCAAGTCATTTATGACTTGCTGGCATTGACTGTTTGGTCGCCTGGTCATTCGTTTGGGTTTTAGGCCCGTTTCGCTGTTTTGAAGATTTTATAACTTGAAAAGTTGACTTTGGTCAACCTTCTTGGATGACGTGCTCAGATGAAAATTCTGACAGCTGGGTTAGCTTCGGAATATCGATTTTGGTCTAGAACGACCCTTTGTTCACTTCCCGACGCTTTAGATGGCAGTTGTGGAATCTGGCTCAAAACGATACTGGGTGTGGGACCCACTTTTCATCGGAGCGATCTCCAAATGGAAATTCCGCCTTCACTGTTGAGTCCAAAATATCGTTTCCAATCAGATTCCATATATGGTTTGTATTTTTCAGACTCCAAACGAGTCCGAAACATCGAAATTTAAGTTTGAAGGGTTGTAGAATTTTGACGCGGCGGTGACGTGGCAGAGCCATGCGACGCCATGTGGCGGCGGAGGTAAATCTGGAAATTTCCAGATTTTAGGACGATTTTCGTCCATTTTTTCCCCTCAACTTCAACATAAGATTTCTCCTTCATTTTAAGCCCGAATTAAGTGATTCAAAAGGCTAACTTCAAGAGAATTTCGTGGGGAATCTAGCGGTGATCTCAGAAACACGAGGGGAGTCTTCGTTTGAGGTAAGGAATCGAATTTAGCCACTGCTAGGGTGATTTCCGGATTGAATTGTTGTTGAATTTTGAAATGTGAGATCTTAATCATCTTAGGTCCGTTTTGAGTCATTCTTGAGGCTAACTTGTAGAGTTTTTCGCAAGGATCGTCGTGGTATAATCTGTTTGGGTTGAAAGGGTCTCGTTTTTCCAGAAATTGGTGATCAAGGGGCTGCCCATTTTAATTGTTGTGGCTGATTTGCTATGTTTTAGGCATCTGTTTGTGCTAAATTTTGGGGTATTAGTTTAGTAAGGTATTTGGGACGTATTCACGGATTCATTTTCGAGATTCCAATTGTGGGCCCCACAATCCCGTTTTAGATCCGATTTTGGGTCCGTCTCCGAAAAATATAATTTTAGTGTCAATATATTCGTAATGACGAGGTGATTAACCTTTTGTTAGTGGGGAAGCATTTGGAGACCGTTCGGAGGGGAAAAGATCAGGTACCGTGAGTTGGAGCACGCGTGGTCGGCTTTCAGGTAGGCTATGGCTTTCTCTCGTGAGATTGAGCATGATTAGGCATTTGTTTATTGATTTGCTTGAGTATGGAGGGGTTCGGGTGTCGAGCATGCTAAATTTCTATAATTCCTGCCTTAGACCTTATTTCGGGAAAGTGTTGGATTATGACAGCATGTCTCTTGATATTATTGAATATCCATATCTTGTGGTGTATATGATAATATTGATTTGAAGTATGTTTGGCCTTAGTCTAGGCTTAGACTAGTGTTGCCATAGACTTGCGAGATTTCGGATGTCGTTGGGCAGTAGAACTTTTTCCGACGTCGTTTCGGACGGTCAGCTCCTTGTAGACTGATATAGCAGACTTGAGTCTGATAGTCGGTAACTCAGCTTATGACCTTGTATCCATAATGCCCTGCTTTTCTGTTAGCTACAGTACCCGGTTAGAGTCCGTGGTCCAGCTTTCTTATGTCCAGGCTTAGCTACAGTACCCGTTTAGAGTCCGTGGTCCAGCTTACCACTTGTGATCTGGTTTTGGCTACAGTACCCGGTTAGAGTCCGTGGTCCAGCCCACCCGTGCCCGACCTTTGGCTACAGCACCCGGTTCGAGTCCGTGGTCCAGCCCATATAGGTTGACTCATTAGCTATAGTATCCGGTTCGAGTCCGTGGTCTAGCTTGCACGTGGTGTATTCCCAATTCCTCACTAAAGCTTCAGTTTAGTCTTGATTACTCTCATCTGTAGGTTGAGGTTTTGGAGGTTGGAGAGATTCTGATTAAAGTCCGGGACGTAATGAGATCCTGGAATATGATTGGGAATGGTTCAATTAAAAGTCCGGAAATTGGTAATATTGTGATAGACCTTCTAGCTCCATTATTTTACTTTAACTGCCGGTGCATCTGTCGGGCTTATGGGGGTCAGTGCAGGTGGTTTCTTTTATTCTGCACGAGTGTACCCGTCGGGTTTATGGGAGCCCGGCGGAGTTAGTTAGATTACTTGTCTTTGTTGCCTGTACGCTCGTGTACATACCCCCATTTACTACTCTTTGCACTTGATGTGACCCTTTATTTGCATTTCAGTTCACTTTTGTTTATCTTGCTCAGTCGGCCTATGATGCCTACTGGGTACCTGTTGTTTTGGTACTCATGCTACGCTCTGCATCTATTTTGTGATGCAGGTTCGAGCACTAGTAGCCAGCGTTGATCGAGCTTGGAGTAGACTTATCTGGAGACGGGGGGTGAGCACACGGCGTTTTGTACTATTTCAGTCTCCTTCTGTATATATAGACTTGTCTACTTCCATTCGAGACAGTCCAGTCTCTGTTGTCCACTTTTGGGACTTGTACTCATTTTGTAGTAGCTCTGTACTAGTGACTTCCAGGTTCTGGGAGGGATCTTTATTTGTATATATGTTTTGGGTTGCTTCCGCCTGTTTATATTGTTATTTTCCTACTCTTGTTTAATTTCTACCCTTAGACCCATTACTTGTTGTTCCGGGTTACGGGTTGGCTTACCTGCTGGTGGGTTATAGTAGGTGCCATCATGACTTGATAAATCGGGTCGTGACACTTAAATAATTTTAGGATGAAGTTTCTAGATGTCCATTGTTATGAGATCACATACAAGATTGACGAAAATATGGATTTCAAAAGTATTGTAAAAAGAACTCAATATTATTTCTGAAGGAATACATTCAAGTGATAATGCGTCAATTCATACTCTATTTAACAACACGTCATAAGTGCTAAGTCTAATTCAATTAGAAGGGAAGGAACAATTATCGATAACTATTTCATTTACAATTATTTATATTTCCTTGTGCAGCATGTAATAATAGATAACTGTTTTATTGAATGAAGCATCCATCATCGTGATTGAATTAGGTAGAATATATTTCTTCAAATGATCCTTACCGATAGATTGCAAATTTATTATTTTCTCTTCTTTGTTTATGCAACAATTTTAAATTTGGAGTTAAGAATGTTATTCTTTAAAATTCTTTAAGGTTAGAATCTTCCCAAACATTTATAGTCATTTATTTTTTCACTCTATTATCTTGACATTAAGAATGATCTCATGTAATTGTGTAAGTACGAATTTATATTAATATATATTAAATATCAAAGACTTGGATTTGGACTTGGACTTGGCGCTAGGGCTTGGATCGGACCTTAAAATAAATATTTTTATAAAGCTTAAATATATACTCTATAAATAACAATGATTTTACAAATAAGAATAGTATATATATCTGTAGTTTGATACAAACGGTACAAAATAGGTCAAAAATTAAAGTGACCAAGAGAAAAAATAACACAAGATAGAGATAATGATAGTTTATGTACACTCAATATTAATATTGTGATCATCATTTTTGAGAAATCTTTCCACAATATCTAGGCATGGTTGCAAAACAGTATTCCTCCATGCTTCGTCAACAACTTCTTTCTATCTTCTTTGAAAACGTCAGTAGCAATAATATGATTCACCGACCACATTTTCTCATTTATTAATCGTTGAATCTTGTCAAGTTGGTTACAAATTAACATACGAGTATTACGCTTGATACTTGAAATTGAAGCTTGAAGAATCATCTTCTTTGACTCATCATCTCCGTCTATATTTTTTTCTTCCCTTAAATATTTGGCCATTTCAGGGAAACCAATGGACCGTTGGATTCCTTTGGTGTAATCTGCATCTGGAATGTAAAATTGGCGCACCTCATCCACCAGCCCTGCATGCAGCATAAATTTAAGAATAGTTTTATTTAGGTGAACATATATTTGAAAATCGAAAGTATTATTAAGAAAACTATATAATTTTTTTTTATAGTTAGGGTCATTATTAAATTTTGATTCATATATAAAATAACTACCAAAATTACCTCCATTGACCATTTCATCAACCCACGTGTCAACTCTACGGTTCAAGACTGATTGCTCTACATCAATCCAAATAAAGCAACTGTCATACTTATGTTTGAACATGAATACAGGGTCTTCCACAAGTTTTTCAATAAACGAATTTGACCCTCCAACAATAATTGGAACACATTGAGTCTTCAAAAAAATTTCTATGTATTCAATGTACTTTGGAGTTAAGAATGTTATTCTTTAAAATTCTTTAAGGTTAGAATCTTCCCAAACATTTATAGTCATTTATTTTTTCACTCTATTATCTTGACATTAAGAATGATC